CCCGGTCAGCTGAAGGTGTTGCCCAACAAGACCCGATTTCCGGTCGCTATGAGGCACCGCCGGTCGCTTGTCGTACAGTACCAGAGTCTAGCTCATCACTGGGCTGCTCTGTCGTCTCCGTCCCGCTGGTACAGGACTTGAACTGCTCACACACCAGACCAATGAGGTCATGCGACCCGAGCCGCCATCGAACGGCGTTTGCCAGTCGTCAACTCCTTCGGTTGGAGCACGAGTTCGCTCGAGCAGCCTATCTTTCCCGGCTTCGTCGAATTGAAGTTGCATGTGAACTGGGCCTGACTGAGAAGCAAGTGAAGATTTGGTTCCAGAACCGACGGGTACGTCAAAAAAAGTCGGTTTTCACAGCTCTCAAACAGCGAATCTCGCTGTCCAGTCAGTCGCGACCCAGAAGTTGACAATCCCGTTGCCCTTTCCTGTTCCCACTTTTCCACATCGTTCATCGGAGACTTAACAACAGCCGATTTACCTGCTCATTGCTATGTATTATATGATTATGTGATTGTATATGACTGTTACATAATACGCGCAAGTCCCCAGCTAACTAAATAATCAGATTGGTACTGTTATTCAAAATCTAGCTTGCCTCTGCGCTTTTTCGCCCTTAATTGTCCGTAAGGGCTGAAGCGGACCGGCCCGACTACTATCGTTCGGATTTTTTATCTGCATGTATTTATTTATCTTCTCCATTGTGTCATGAACTGTAAAAAGCGACTGAATAAAAGTGTATTTTAAAATATGTTTGCCCTTGAACAGATACATCATTCTTTTAGGTGATCATATCCAGAATGGATGGAGCATGAGACATGTATCTCATCTGAATTACTCTCGTCTCTGACTGCGGCTCCAACGGGATTTACGACTTTTTTCACACTTTCGGTAGGGATAAGCGAGATGAATTTATTATGTGGTCTGACCTGATTTGCGCAGGTTGGCCGAAGAGCCATTCATAATTTGTAGAGCATACATAGTCTTGCGTCTTCTGACACTGATAATTTTCAGCATCGGAATGTTGACTTGGCACATTAC